CATTGAGAAATTTAATTTAGCTCTGGTTGCAGGCAAGGATGAAGGCTTTTGCTTTCACCAGTACTGAACAGCGGCATCACATCATTGTGCTTCATGAAGAGAGTTACTCCTGTACAGAAACAGCCAAGAGAGTGAAATGCCATCGCACCACAGTGAGCAGAACGGCTGAAAAATACCAAATAACTGGTTCAGTTGATGACAGGCTCCACTCTGGAAGACCAAGAAAGTCAACAAAACGACAAGATCGGGCTCTGCAACACATTTCGATGGCTGACAGGAAGCTCACCTCACCTCAGATTACAAGAATTTGGGGTGAAACATGTGATGTAAAAGTGTGCACAAGCACAGTGCATCGCAGACTGCTTGCCAGAGGGCTCAAAGGCTGCAGAGCTCAAAGTAAACCTTTGCTCACAGATGCTCACCACTCTCGTCGACGTGTGTGGGCCAAAAAGTATGCCAAGTGGACCAACGAACAGTGGGCCAAGGTAATCTTCAGCGACAAGAGCAATTTCTACTTGACTGGGAATCAGTACAATAAGTATGTCAGAAGATTTCCAGCTGAAGAATTTAGGCCGTACTGCCTGAATCTATCTGTGAAGCATCCATTGCACGTGATGATCTGGGGCTGTATCGCTGTTTCTGGTATTGGTCGGATACAAATCGTGCAGGGAATCATGTATTCCAAGCAGTATGCTGAAGTCCTGGAAAAGACCAAGCTTCCTTCAGCTCAGCAACTTGTAGGGAAGGACTTTTACTTCCAGGATGACAACGCTCTTTGTCACCGAGCCGAGTCCACCCAGCAGTGGATGAAGAAGCATGGTGTTCGACTCCTGGATTGGCTAGCTCAGAACCCGGATTTGAATTGAGAACTTGTGGGCCAAGATTGGTTACGAAATAAGAAGCATCCAAAGACCAAGAAGGAGCTGATTGAATCCATTATTGCAGCCTGGCACCATATTGTCACCAAAGATCACGTGCAAAGGCTTATACAGTCTACGCCAAAGCGATGCCGCCTGATAAGCAATAAGGGCAGGCCAATTTCATATTAGAAACCATGTTTGGTTCCCTAAACAGTCCTTTTCAGGGCCACAAACAATAAAAATGTTAACAAAACACTAGCATCAGCCTTAGTTATTGCAACACATATGCCACTGGGTATGCATCAGTTAATCTGTTTTCATAGTCATTGTAAGCATGCAAGAAAATTCACAATCCCCATCAAAACAGCAACCAAATTGCAAAAAAACTTATGCTTTTCCTTTAAAGACCATCAGTATTTATTTTAATATAACAATATTTGCATAGCAGTTAGCATAAAATATCATAAAATCTATGGCCTACCCAAAAAAAAATGTCATAAACCGTAAATTGTAAAGCGTGCGGGACTTTTTCACATAGCTGTACAATCCCCAATAAAAATACCTCTGGTTTTAAGTTTATATGCTGTTTTATCATTTTTTTCAATCATGTGTGAATTTTAGTCCAATATCTTTTAGCTTCTTCACATGTCCACCACATATGGTAATGTTGACATTTCCCACATTTCACAGATTTGTCCTTAAAACATCTTTGCTACTCTTGCTGGGGGGAGATGCTGTCTGTAGAACATCTTATACAAATTCTCTTTATACGCTGTTGACATTGTTAATTTATAATTTCTAGTCCATAATTTCTGCCATTTATCCAAATCTATCCCATATCCAAAAATTTTCCCCCAAGCAATCATCGTTTCTTTAACTTGCTCTTCTTCTAATTTCACTCCTAGTAAATAACCATATTCTCCCAGTCAAGGATAGTTGTAGGTTTTTCCACTTTTCCAAATCTGTCGCAATCTGTTAATTTATAGTAATTGTCTTCCTTAAGTGTTCCACATCTCACTGTCAATTGTATCCCCAGGTATTTCACTGTTTTTGTGATCTGGATGTGTAAACTGTCATGTTTTCAACTTTCTCCTCAACACGCTTCGTTTTTCTTTAATATATAAAACCACTCCTCTTTTCTTACATTGGGTCAAGGAAGTAAATATTTTCCCTAATTTTGGCTGTACCAACAATTGTTCATATTGTTTTTTAATATGTACTTCTTGTAGACAAATTATATCAAATTTTAATTTCTCTAATTTATGAAAAGTTTTCTTTCTTTTAATGGCTGAATTAAGTCCATTTATATTAATTGTAATCATTTTTTGCTCTTCCATGATTATATTTTATAGGTGGGTTTAGCAGCTCTCGTAGATCTTGGTTCATGTTGTTCTTTGGTTTCCATCTTTCCATCTGCTGCGCCTTCTTTTTCAGTTCCCATTTGACAGTCCTCTTGGAATTCAATTAGTGCCTCTTCCTCTTTCCTTCCAAAAAATTCTGTATAAAATAATTCCGCTTTCTCAATTGAGTCAATTCTGTGTCTCTGTTCTTGCCATGTGAACATTAACCCTTCTGGGATCAGCCATCTATAATTCACCTCTTTTTTCAGTAGCATTTTAGTCAGGAATTGATATTCTCTTCTCATCTCTCTCACTTTTCTGGGTATTTGTTTTAAGACCACACTCTCCTTGCCTTTGTATTTCAACATTTTCTCTCTTGCCACTTGCAATAGTTGCGTTTTAATGGCTTTCTTTGTAAATCTAATATGAACTTCTCTTGGTAGGCTATTTCTCATCGCATATCTTGTAAAAACTCAATATACCTCATCTATTCCATCCATCATCTTCTCTTCAGTTATTTCCAAAGCTTCAGCCAATATTTCTATCATTATCTCAGCTAGATTTTGTCCTTTTTCTTCCTCTATGTTTTGAAATCTAAGATAAAATTCTGATCTGTCTATCTCCCATCTCAGCATACCACTTTTATCTTGTTCAACCAGTTAATCTGTTATCAATGTCTCCAATCTTCTTGTCTCTGTTTATCTTCTTCAATTTTTTGGAATCTCTCATCATACTTCGACATCATTTGTTGAATGTTCTCCACTTTTTCATCGTTTTTCCCTGTTCTTTGTTCAATGCTCTCTGTTCTTTGTTCAATATTCTCTGTTCTTTGTTCGATGTTCTCTATTCTCTTTTCAATAGTCTCTGATCTTGCTTTAATATCTTGGATTCCTTGCATAATCACCTGCAGAGTCACTTTTTCTTGTTCTTTTTCTTGCTTTAACATTGCCTGTATTGAACGTTGTCCTCCAGATGGTGGGGAAGCAGAAGTAGAAGTTGAGGAACCAGGAGCTGTCAATTTCCTACTCATTTTAAATGATTCAAAATCTTCAAGTTCTTCTAAACCTTAATCCAATTGTGAAGTAGCCAATTATAATCCAAGGCAAAAAATAAAAATGGTAGAGAGAAAAAAGCCCAACAGTAATAAAAAAGGGGGAGACAAAAGTTTCTTCAGGTTCTTGTAAACCTTAATCCAATCAGTAGTTAAGTAAAAAAAAAGACTTAAAAAAAACAAAAGGAGAAAAATTCTTCAGGTTCTTCAACACCTTAATCCAATTGAAAGGTCTCACAAAGAAAAAAGTGCATAAAAATGAACCAAAAAGGTGGGTGAAAAAAAACAAAAAATGCCAGGAAAAAAAAAGGAGAAAAGGCTTTTAAGGCTTTCCCTTTAAAATAAAAAGCAAGCGTGAAGACTGGACTTCCAAAAAAAAGAGACAAAAACAAATTCCAACCAGGCCAAAAACCCAAGTAGTTATTACAAGAATAAAGATTTTAAAAAAATACAGTAAAGCTGGTAAGGAGGAGTTGCACAGCTTAAAAAAAATAAAAAGGGCACACTGCACTTTGTTTTCTTATCCAAGGCTCTTATTATAACTCTATTCTCCAAAGACTTAGCACCTTTTCTTTTCATAAGCTTCAACACCAGGCTCCAGCTGTTGATAGAAATCCAGAAGAGCACCTGCAATAACACTCTCCCGTGCTCTTCCCTCTATCTTATCACATAGCAATGTCCTTGAAAAGGAGTCTCAGTTCTTTCTTTCTCAGCTTTCTCAGCTTCGTCTGATCACAGGAAATAAAGCATTTTCAAGCCTCTAGATTCTTTCTTTTCCTTAGGGTGTCCTTTCAAGTCTTAGAATAAAAAAGTTCTCACCAAACCGGCACACTTTCCCTTTCTGCTCTCTTCCGTTTCGGAGCTGTCCCAACTTCTGCAGCTTTAATGGCTGCCTCTTTGCCGCTGGCAAGAAGAGCTTCTCCTGGATCTACCAGGGACTTTGCGGTATCCCTGGGATCAACAGGATGTGCTCTTCACTTTCGCCATCTCTTTGGGACGGTTTAGATCCGTTTAGACCATCCAGGGGCAAAGATATTGGCTGCGATCTCAGACCTCTGAGATCGCATGCCGTATCCTTGCGACGCCAGCTCCGCCCTCTCCACGCTTCCTTTGTTTTTGTATTACTTGTATTGCTTGCATCATTGTTCTTAATTCCTTCATTGGAAACTCCTTTTCTTTTTCTCTTTCTCCTTCCTTCTCTTTTTCCCTTCCCTTTTCCTGCCGTAGCATAGTATTGATCACTGACCAGCTGGGCTTAGGGAGGAGGAAGTAGGAATCGATGATCCTGTTGCAGCTGTCTTCCTCATCTCAAGTCAATTATAATTCCACACAAAGGATATCTGCCAATTAATTCAAATTCTGCTTTTTTTGGGTTCTTCTCTACCTTAATCCAATTATAAGGAAAACAATCTTTCCATATCAAAAAGAAAAGAAAAAACAAAAAGTGATGAAAAATAAAAATACCTGTTAAATCCACAGAGCTAAAAATAAAAAACAAACAAAAAATCAAAAAGGAAAGAGTTCCAAAAATAGTCCGTTTGTAGTAATCCAGTACTAGAGAATAAAAATAGGAAAAACTAGTACGTTCCAAATAAAAAGCTAGCCAAAAAGAAAAAGGAGGCAAGCAGATGCAGACAAATTTAAAAGAGTAAAAAGGCCCAGAAAAAATACCAGTAGTAAAAAATGAAACAAAATGAAATAGCCAACAATTATTTTAGATAGCAGTCACAAAGCAATTCCAAGCCACTGTATTGTGTCCAGAAAACCAAATCATAATATATCCAAGGTCATAGTAGTCTTTCTCTTCTATCCCCATCTGTTTAGATTGTCAGCACAACACCTGTTTCAACAATCCTTCAGCGCTTTGCTTTTTATCTTCCTTTTGAGTCAGCGTACTGTCCAGAAAAACAATTCTTAGATTTATTAAAAAAGATTCTATAGCCTCTAGGTGGTACTATTGCCTTGCTTTGCTTTCATTCCTTTGTTATATTGTATCCAGCGGAAATTAAAAAGAAAAAGAAAAAAGAAAAAGATTCACTTTTAAAGTTACAGTTACTAAATAGGCAAACTAAAAAGGAAAAAATAGTCCAGGATTTAAAATTAAAATTAGGGTTTTGTCTTTTCCAAATTATTAGTCCAGTCCAGTTAAAGAGAAAAAAATGATCTTTCTGTTAAAACACGTTATAAAATAGCCCTACTTGAATCTGACAGTTATAAACATGCTTTCCCGCTGCATTCTCTTCTGTCTTCAATCTTAAAATTTCTTATTCCCTTAGGGTGCTCTTTAATCTTTAGCAAAAAATTCTCAAAAAATCTCACCCAATTCGGACATACTTTCCTTCTGCTTTCCCTTTCATTCCAGAGCTGTCCCAGCTTTCCAACAGCTTTATAATGGCTTTCCTCAGCCGCCGGTTCGGGGAGTTTTTCCTGGATTAACCAGGGACTTTGCAATGTCCTTGGGATTGATAGGATGTGCCCTCTTCTGTCACCGTCTCTCTGGGATGGTCTAGGTCCAAAAGGACTGTCCAGTAGCAGGGATATCAACGGTTCTTTTGGGAGTTCCCGAATCCCCATCTTTCTGCTGTGACTCCAGCTCTGCCCACCCCATTCCTCCCTATATTTGAAGAATAAATTTTTGAAAAAAATATTAAGGAGCCCTGAGGGACAAGTGAAAGCACAGGAAACATGTTCTGCTTACAGAAATCCTGACACTTTCCTTTATTTGTCTTTCTCAAAAGCTATTCAAGATTCTTACGCAATGCTGTTTTAGGAACTAAACATTATCTATTATACAATAATTTCCCTCACATCTCCACACCGGGGTGTGTATGTGTGTGGAAACCACACAGTTATCAGTATATTGATGATGCTTTCAGGCCCCAGCTCTCAAAGGCTAATAAGGAGGCAACTCCAAGCAAAGGAGATCACAGCAGGAGTTGCAAATAAACCTGGAAATCCTGTACTCAAAACCATAATCCCTTTTCTCCTCAACTCAATATTCCTGTAGCTCTTCTCCATGAAGGCCACCTGCAGGGCAGGACAGCCTTTACATCTAAAATGTTATGCTGGTTTTGTCACTGCCTCAAACTCTTCCAATATATTTGCTATTCATATAGTTTCTTCCACTTGCGTGCCTCAGTCTTGACACAATATGAACAGACATGCTTGGTTTTCTGAATTCCTGGAACTGTTTGGAAAAGATGAACTTTGAAACCTTTCTGCTTCTCTTCTCCTCTCATTTTTCTCCTTTTATGAGGAGCCTCAATCTGTTTAGTGCTCCTATCCCCAAGAGATGCTGGCTGGTGAACTCTGGGGCTGAAATTCTGGGGGCGCCCAGGGAGAAAAAAGCTGGGATCCACCATGATAAAAATGCAACAAACACTCCAAAAAAGCTTTTTACAATTTCTTCAAAAATAAATACAGGCAATTCCCAGCTTATGAGCATTCTCTTAGTGAATGTTCAAAGTTATGAGATAAGCGCCCCCTAGAGTTTACAAATAAATCCCAAAATTATGAATATTGCAGCACCACAGCTGCAATAAATGTGGAAATCCTGTCCACTCTTATGAATAATAAGCAGAGGCTCTGCAACATTCACCCCACCTATCCCCCCCTGGCCAGCTCTTCACAGGCATTTCGCCTGTGGAGAGTCACTTACTTCCCAAAGATCTCTCTGTTGTGGTTTCTTTGCCTGCATTTGCAGAGAACAGAGGCCTAACATACTGTGAGATCATGCAAGATCAGTAGCGCGAGTTCTTGTGTAATCTCACACTTTAGGCTTCTATTCTCTGTAAATTGAGACCTGAACGTTTGCAAACAGAGGGAAACTTCAGTCCTTCACTCCGTTAGCTGATTCTTTGCTGAAGCCTGCAGGGAGATTGTGTTCCTGTAGGCTTCACCAGCCTTTTGCAAAAAGCTTTTGTTGGCACCAGCAGAGCTTAGGAGGAGTTGATGCAAAAAAAAAGAAAAAGAAAAAGGCATTTTGCAAAGGGCTGCCAAAGCCTACGCAATCCTCGGGCGCTTTCCTGACAAGAAAGTAGCCTCGAGAGGCCATGAGCAGCTTCTTGGGGTTGCTTTCCTGGTATCGAAGGCCTTGTCAGGCTGCTCTGGGGCAAGAAAGCACAAATGCAAGAGAGGAAGCAGGGAGTGATGTCATTCAATCTATGAGATTCACTCCCACGCATTCTTAACTTACGGATGGAATGGGCAGGCTGCATTGCATTTGTAACCCGAGGATTAATCGTATCCAGCAACTTCTGCTGCTGATAGCCAGATAGGCATTATAAAATTATTATCTTGCAATTTTTTCTTTCCTCCTTCCCATCTAATACCATTACATGCTTTTCTACAAAAAGTTAGGCCAATTCTTTGTAGTCAAATTAAACAGTAAATTTCTCAACTGGACTTGCAATGGAACATTAGAAATGAAGTTCAAACCTTCTCTACACTAATCACTTCGGGCCTTGTGTGCGTTTTCTTGTGTGCAATAAGGGTGGAATGTCTCCTAAAGCAACAACCACACTCGGAACACTCACATGGTTCCTCACCAGTGTGTATAAGTACATGTTTTATAAGATTAGATCTAGTACTGAAATCTTTCCCACATTCTGGACACTCATATGGTTTCTCTCCTGTGTGAGTCCTCTGGTGTGTCACCAGGCTGGAATTCAAACTGAAACTTTTCCCACATTCAGGACATTCAAAGGGCTTCTCTCCTGTGTGAGTCCTCTGGTGTCTCACCAGGCTGGAATTATCACAAAAACATTTCCCGCAATCAGGACATTCAAAGAGGTTCTCTCCTGTATGAATCCTCTGGTGTTTCACCAGGCTGGAATTATCACAGAAACTTTTCCCGCAATCAGAACATTCAAAGGGTTTTTCTCCTGTGTGAGTCCTCTGGTGTATCACCAGGTTGGAATTTGATCTGAAACTTTTATCACAATCAGGACATTCAAAGGGTTTTTCTCCTGTGTGAATCCTCTGGTGTCTCATCAGGTTGGAATGCAAACTGAAACTTTTCCCACAATCAGGACATTCAAAGGGCTTCTCTCCTGTGTGAGTCCTCTGGTGTGTTACCAGGCTGGAATTATCATAGAAACTTTTCCCGCAATCAGAACATTCAAACGGTTTTTCTCCTGTGTGAGTCCTCTGGTGTTTCACCAGGCTGGAATTATCACAGAAACTTTTCCCGCAATGAGGACATTGAAAGGGTTTCTCTCCTGTGTGAGTCCTCTGGTGTGTCACTAGGCTGGAATTCTGACTGAAACTTTTCCCACAATCAGGACATTCAAAGGGTTTCTCTCCTGTGTGAGTCCTCTGGTGTCTCATCAGGCTGGAATTCAAACTGAAACTTTTCCCACAATCAGGACATTCAAAGGGTTTCTCTCCTGTGTGAGTCCTCTGATGTGACAACAGGCTGGAATTCCAACTGAAACTTTTATCACAATAAGGACATTCAAAGGGCTTCTCTCCTGGGAAAGTCTTCTGGTGTGTCACCAGGCTGGAATTCTGACTGAAACTTTTCCAGCAATCAGGATATTCAAACGGTTTCTCCTTGGTGTGAGTCCACATTGCTATGCTTGCTAAAGCATTTACCGCCTTGGGAGCACTTGTAGGGTTTCTCTCCTGTATGGATCCTTCCAAAAACCACAACGGAGTTGTTCTGATCAAAGGTTTTACCACATTCAAAGTATATGTAAGACTTTTCTCCAGTCTGGATCTTCTCATGCATAGTCAACTGTGATTTGCAAGTTGTATCTTTCCCACAACTGGCACATCTATGGAGCTTTTCCACCACTAAAATTCTTGAGGAGGTCAAAAATATGGATGATCCCTTGTTAGTTGTGCTTTGATTTATTTGTGATTTTCTTCCTTCCAGAGTGAAGCCTGCAACACTATCTGCTCTACATGGCTTTCCAATCGACCTTTTCCTTCACACTGACTTTTTCACTTCCCTCTTTTTCTGAATGGAAAAATAATCTCCATTGACTTTTTATGTAACGTATTCTTGAATTTCACATATTACTTTTCCCATCTAGAAATCTCTTGTTGATTTTCTCTCATTTCTCTTTCACCTGCTGAGGAAGGTAAAGAATTGTGTGGTGCTTTGAAGAAAATGGAAAATATTTCTATTTCTGGACTGACTTGCTTTGCTATTCAATGTTGCTTGTCATCCTCAGTTGTCCAGTGTGCTCTTATCACCATCCTCTTTGTCTATAAGAATGAAATAAAAGGGTATAAAATAAATAAAATGGTTGCAATAGATGAGAAAAAAAAGAACATTACATTTACATTACAATGAAAAATTATGAAATTCAGTTGTTGACTGGGTCAATCACAATTCTTAGCAGTGCAGATGATTGTTTTCAAATACAGTCAAGTGAAAAAGAAAGTACACTCTCTTTCATTTCTATGGTTTTAGGATGCGAGAACCAGAGGAGGGTTTGGGTTACCTTATTGGGAAATAGATTATCAGGCCACAGTATTAACCTGGATGAAAGAATGGATAACACTGAGAAACAGAAGACTGTTAATGCTAGAGGGACATGATTTACAACTGGGCTGGCATGCATTTCTATGGTATGGGAGAAGGAAAATACATAGGTGTTTTCAAAGACATATGGTCAGGAATGCATGGGAAAAAACTAGAGAACAACATTACATGAAGATTCCAGTCTGGTTTTCCACATTGGAAGCACTCATACACCCAAATGTTTGCAAAATGGGAACTATTGCTAGATATAAAGATATCTGAAAGGAAAAGGGTGAGCTCAAAACTAAACAAGAATTGAATGAACAAGGGTTGCAAATGCATTGGTGTTCATATATGCAAATACAATCAAGATATGAAAAAGATATTAAAGCTGAAGGGATTCATAAGGAGTTGATAGAATTGGACAAAATACTAACAGGAATGGAAGATAAGTTGATTAAAATATTATATTGCTATTTACTAGGTGTTAAACTAGAAGAACAACAAGTTAAAGAAACAAATGGTAGCACGGGCAAAAATGTTTGGATATGCTATAGTATTAGATAAATGGCAGAAGCTATGAGATAGGAACTATAAATTAACAATATCGACAGCATACAAAGAAAATTTGTATAAGATGTTTTATAGATGGCAATTTGCACCAGCAAAATTAGCTAAGATGTTCAAAGATAAATTAAATGCTGGAAGTGTGACCAGACACCTGGAACATATTACCATATGTGGTGGTCGTGTATAGAAGCTAAAAGATACTGGACAAAACTACGCTCATGGTTGGAAAAAATGATAAAACAACACAAAGATATGAAACCTGAAATATACTATTTCAGACAAGTGGCTGTCTCATCTCTTCTGAAAAGCCTCAAATGGGGAGACTGGTTGGTGGTGCAGTGGAAACGGCTGGAAAATAGTGGAGCTCCGTCAAGCTCTGTGAAAACAGCTGGTATCTGCCAGGAGACCCGAAAGCACAGGTCTCCAAACTTGGCAACTTGAAGAGTTGTGGACTTCAACTCCCAGAACTCTCCAGCCAGCTATGGGATTTAAACTCCATAAGTCTTAAAGTTGCCAAGTTTGGGGACCCCTGTGCTACATGGTCGAAGCCGCCCTTGAGGGGTGGTGAAGGAAGGAGAGGTGCTTCAATTATCACGACAAAACCACAATTTCTTCGTTAGGTCTGAAGAAAGCTCTCCCGAAAAGCAGCAGGGATGATGGCCATTTTGGCAAGTCGCAAGCTGTGACAACTGGGACAATAAGAATTGTGCTGGAGCGGTTCATGGACAGAGCATTGAAACTGGGTGAGATACCTTCCAACTTTTATTCTAAAGATAAAATAATTTCAAAAAATAATCTCCAAACATTAAGAAAGCAGCTATTGGATACATGGAGAAGGATTAAAGAGTCAGATGCAAGGGATTCAAACTGCTGAATTGCTGACTTTTGCGATCTACAAGATCAGCATCTTAAGCACCGAGCCACCGCATCCCTTACTATTGTTGTTAACGTTTTCTAATACACTGTCATACAAAATATGTATGGTTGTTAAAGGAAAATTACAAATAAAACATATCTGAAAAGCCTCAAGTGATGGAGCAACAAAACTCTCAAAGCCATCCTTTCTTCTGGTTAATTATTCTCCCCATGAGGAAATTTCTCACTGCTTCCATAGTATTAAGAGGTGAAATAGCAGCCAAGTACTACTGCTAATACAGTGCTATTGATCAATTATATCATCAGCAAGTATAACTACATCTATAAAAGCTGAAGTTGTAGGAGTTTGCTGATCTCTGGCATTGAGGTGTGTGTTAATACAGTGGCAAAGAATAAAGAATTAGCAATTATCTTAGAAAAGGAACTATTGCTGCCTATCGATTTGGGAAGGTTTAACAAGCCAATTCCGAACAATTTAAAAATCCATCATTCTACAGCGAGGATGATTATTCACAACTGGGAAACATTCAAAACAATCTTCCCACGAGTGGACATTCAATAAAATTCTCCCTAAGGCCACACAATGCAATAGCTAGAGAAATTGCAAAAACACCCAAAGAATTCTGTTTCCGACTTTACAAGCTTCAGTTAGCATGTTAAATGTTAAGATTCATGACAGTGCAATTAGAAAAAGACTAAGCAAGTATGGTTTGTTTGGAAGGGTTAGCAGGGGAAAGTCTCTTCTCTCTAAAAAGGTCATAGCAGCATGGCTGAGGTTTGCAAAGTTGCATCTGAACAAATCACAGGACTTCTGGAACACTTGTCCTTTACACAGATGAGACCAATAGCTAAAGCTAGGCTGGCATGGGATTATGCAACAGGACAATGGTCACAAAACACACCAGCAAATCTACAACAGAATGGCTGGAAAAGAACCAAGGTGTTTCAATGGCAGTCAAAGTTCAGACCTCAACCCGATTGACGGGACCTCAAGAGTTGTGCATAAAAAAACACTCACAATCCTCAATGAACTGAAGCAATGTTGTAAAAAAGAGTGAGCCAAAATTCCTCCACAATGCTGCGAGACTGATAAAGTCACACAGAAAAGAATTACTTCTAGTTGTTGCTGCTAAAGGTGGTTCTACAAATTATTGAATCTGATATTTTTCACATACGACTTGTCCCTTTTGGCTTTCTTTTTATAAAATAAATGATGATTTGGTATAATATGCCATGTATTGTTCTTCATCTGTGGTTGTATTTACCTACTTTAAAGAACTTTTTAAAGGACCAATTGATTTTTATTACATCCTGATATGGACATTTGCAGGTACATATGTTCAGAGAGAAAGAAAAATACACATACCTACAACATGGAAAAAAATCCAATCTTTCAAGCATGTAAAAAAATCTCAAAATGGTTACTCAAAACTTCTGCACAAATGTTAGTCAGGAATCTGATGAATTTGCTGATTGCTCATCTGTTGAGATGGCAAGGCTGAAGGTCAGGCAACAACAGGCTTCTGAGGCCATGGAAACTTTCACAGGAAACCACTAGCCCAGGGGTCTGCAAGCTTAAACACTAAAAGAGCCATTTGGACCCGTTTCCCACAGAAAAACAAAACATTGGAAGCCACAAAACCAGGGTGGGCATGGTCAACTCGATATCACTCGCTCCACAGAAGGCATGCGTGATTATTTTTGTAATTTTTATAATTTCTGTCATGTGCCAGCTGCCTCTTATTGTATGTAATAAAGCAAAAGCAAAGAAATATATGTATCAATATCTGCCTTGCACTATGTACTGGGTTCCTTCCTCCTTAGGAGGGACCCATCTTTATTCAGATGAATAAATGCATTGCCTTATAAACATACACACTTGGACTTTCTCTTACATTTCATCAAGCCACACCTCTCAGTCTGCATGACACAAACTTTGCAGATGTAGAAGCTTTAACTGATGAAAAGATGCCTAAAGTCTCTGCAAGATTTGAAGCACCAGTTTTGCCCATGGAAGCCCTGAGCTCCAATTAAGGGCAGAAAATATTTTCCACAATCCCTCTGGTGACATCCCAAATGAAGTAGTCCTCACTTACTGACTGCAATTAAGATGGGCATCTTTGTCACTAAGCAGTCTGATCAATAGCTATTTTTAAAAAAGTGCTGCATTTAAGCACAGTTGAACCTGCGGAATACACGGATAGGGGTACCTACTCGTTAGCTTGAAATGGAAGTAAAACAAAACGAGAACAACCCAGAAAAGACCAAGAGGCACATCAGCCCGATCTTGTTGCCCAGAAAACATCAGGTCCACTACAGAATAATTGAGTTTTGGGGGGGACCTTGGAGGTCTCCTAGTCCATTCCCTGTTCAGGCAGGAGACCCAATTTCATTCCGAACAAACGGCTGTCCAATCTCCCCTGAAGACCCTCCAGTGACGGAGCCCCCACAACCTCTGGAGGGGAGCCATTCCCAAAGGATCCACCTTCGCTTGAAAGAGGCTTTTGAGATCTTCCCCCCAGCAGAGAATTGCAGCCACCAGTTTCACAGCCTGCAGCCCCAGCGGGCTCCGATCTGGGGAGGGAAGAAACCTGCAGCTCACGCGCTTCAGCCCAGTTGCTTCTCTGCTTCCAGGCCGCGGAGGGAACTGAACAGCCTGACTTGTTCTCGGACTCTCCTCTCACCTGATGCCCCCAACTCACCTGCCAGCTGCTGCTTCCATCCCGGGAAGAACACAAGCACCGCTCTGCACACCAACTTCTTCCCATGAGTCATCCGGAAGAGGAAATTCCTCTGTCCTCCCATATTTTCTAGCAATGCAGTACTCAATGGTTTAAAAA